CCGCACAATGACGAACCAAAGGCCGCACACCGAATACAATAAGCGAGGAAACACGAGACGCATAATTGCGATTCTCGAAGCAGAGCGTTGTTCTGATCGTTTGCCGGGTATGTACACTAGCGGATGCGAATGTCTTCCCTGCGGATACGGTGTCGCCAGTATATGGTTTTCGTTTCCGTCAGTGTACCTCGGCAGACCTCGAATATCCCTTAAGGTGAAGTGAAACACCCTTCAAATCAGTCGATTCGAATACAACACTTTTTTTTAAGGGTATTAGACCAAACTGTCCGAAACTTTGACACATCACTCCTGATCATCTAAGAATTGTCCTGACACATTCAAAATTTGGATTTTTCAACCAAATTTATTAACTCAGCCCAGACCAGAACCAAAATGGCGTCGAGTTCTCATATTTCGATCTATATATAATTATCGAAGGCTCTGATATGAGAATCGAAAGGGTCAGGACAATTGTACGACAATTTAGAACACTCTGGTAATCGATAAACTCGCATTTGAATGGGATAAAGGCAAAAAAAGTGTTGTATGCGCTTCTATGCTAAAATGATGGGAATACGAGGTTTTGGAGGGAAAATTTAATTGACCTGGAAATTACAGATGGCACAGGGAGTCCCTCTGCAGTCAATTAGGGCCCCAGAAAGCATGAATCTAGAGGATTTCTGGAGTTTTACTTTGATTTCTTGATATTTATTGTACGAAAACGTCAGGTGGAGTATGCCATTTGGGACAATATCCAATATAATTCGACACAGCTGTCATTCAGAAAAATCTTCTTTATCGACGTCAATTAAGTTCCTCGACGTGTTTCACTTCACCTTAAGGTCGATTTACCCCCATCCGATCAGACTCCGATCCAGCTCCGGTTTGTACAGGATCGAAGATGCATACATTCATCTTCTACATTGGCGGTCTCATATCTCTGCGGGAGACATTCGTGTTCGCTCCTGTGCAAATCAGAACCGGATCGGAGACAGATCGGACGTATGTAAATAGACCTTTATACGTTATTTTTGCTCTGAGAATCCCTGATGTACAAATGGGATTCCGTGTCAAGCCCGGGATATGGAATCTGCTAATTTGAATCGGATAAGATCCTGGCCAGTTGGTCGTGAGCGTGGAAGATACATGGATTATCCATCGATTTTCAAGAACCCTTCCCGATCGGAGCACCAAGAAATCCTACGAGGTCCTTCAATTACCCGCTAGCCCCGACGGAAGTCAAGAAGCAGCCCCGGAAATGAGACCCACGCCATTCCGGCTAAACTCGATTTTCCTTCGTCTCTGGATGTAGGTTATTTCAGGATATTCAAATTTCGATGGCTTTTCTTTCCCTCGAAAGACTTTTAACGATCTGCTCGAACCCTCGGGGAATTCCGGGGAAAGCCGGACACTTATGCGATCGCGAATGCGGTGTCGGGTTATTGTTGAGCGGCGCAAGTACCGAGTCTTGTGATCGCGCGAACGGCGATGGCTCGTAAAAGTGTTTAGGTTTTTCTGTAACATCGCGCCAGATGGGAGAGCTAGAGAAAGAGCCCCTTCGTTAAAATTAGTCAGTTTTATTATCGGCTTAGATTCTTTTCTCAGTAAATGCTCATTTTTTGGTTTATATGTAATACCTTGAAAGCCTGGTAATGTTTACTAGAGTTAAAACAAATTTTTCTCAGGACTATGTTGTAAGTCCCGGTGTTGCGACCAATTTCTTGTAACGTTTTTAAGTTGTTCCGTTAAATCTTGTTTATTATAATGATAGGGTAACACGAAACAAAGTCAATACGTATGGTTCTTGGTTAAAATTAATGGACATACAAAATCGTAGACCGTTTATTTAACACAGTGGCATGTTTTTTATGATTCACACCTATTGACTCAAACCATTTCTACTTAAATGCTCCTTCCTCCGAAATCTCCGTTCTCCAAGTTACTCGTGGGACCACACTTAGGTCAGAAAGAATGAAGAAACGTGTTAAGGTGAGGTGAAAGTAACGCCAAAGAGGTCTCGTTTATGAAACCTTTATCCGAACTGGGTGAAATAAATCGTTTCAACTTTTACAATGTGAATCTGGAGGTTATAAGGAAGATCGTGACACCCACGAAATTTCTATTTGTTCTTAATCTGTTCGTGGATTTTTTAAAAATGTTGTATTAAAATTGTAATTTCATGGGTATCGGGATCTTCTTTATAGCCACCATATTGGTGTTGTAAAGTTTGAAACTATTCGGTATGTTCAGTTTGGAGAAAAGTTTCATGAACGATTGACCTCTCAGATTTCACTTTTACATCCTCTTAAATTGCAGCACGAAGCAACGAGAAGCCTACGATATTTTACAACTTTTAAGATTGTAAACTAATTGAGCGATATCTAAAAATTCCATCGGAAAATAGGGTTAACGTCGTTATCGATTAAAAATACAGTTCAAATTGAGTAGATATCAAGATCATATAAATGCATCTTAAAATTCGTAGCTTGAAACTCTTCTACAGACGTATTTTGTTTGTTCCGCAAATTCCCCCCTTCGCGGTGTTTTACAATTTACCACAAAATATTAAATACTTGAGACGCAATCAGATACAGGATGTAAACAGAATATAAAGTATTGATACGATCGATACATTAAAGTGGAGCCATTGAATCCCAGAGTTTAATCATGAAGATATACTTATTAATTATTTAAGTAATCATATACTGGGTTGAAAGTTAAATGATTCATACACAACGAAGGTATTCTTTGAATATTTACGAATGTATATACTATTCAAGAAAAAGGATCAGTCTGAATTAGTAATACATTATGTACGGCCAACATAACGGGTTGTACCCAAACATTTATCTGTGTTCAGAGTCAGTGAGGAGCACTTGTCCATTTATGAGCACAATTTACGATTATTTTTATACGGTGCTTTACCCGTGCCCATATGAAAACCGCCGTGCCGTTAGCATACCGGAATACTCTAAGTGTTACTAGATAAAGGCAAAGTCCAGGGCACCACGAGAAATTTCGTGACTCTCGGGGTAATGCCAAGCATAGATTACGAACTGTTTCTCTTTCTCGATATAATCTGATTTAGAAAATAGAAATTATGGAGTGGTGGATGAATACGACGAAAAAGTCGGTACATTCTCCCTGATACTTAAGTTATGACCTAATGAAAAAATAATTAACCCTTCGTCTGTAAACGTTTTTTCGGCACCTTCCCTCTGAAAACCTGGGTCTTTCACGTCCGGTTGTCTTTTCACCCTGTTAATACCCTCAAAAAATTCCGAAAAAATGTATGCTAATGTTGGAAACTTTCAACTTGAAATATCAATCATAAAATTGTAGAAAAATAAATTTTTTCATATAATTTTTGAAAATATTATTCAGTACTTTTGACAACATTTCAGCTGGTCGAATTAATCGAAACAATTCGGTTGGTCCCATAATATAACGCAGATGTACGCGGGAAGTATTGGCTCAAAGAAAGTATACGTGTAGCACGCGATTTTTCTACCAGACTTTTCTCGTGAACAAACGACGATAAATGGCGTCTATCGTCATAAAGTTGTTTATTTTCGCCATTTATCAAGCGCTCGTACCCACGAGTACCTCTTGGACATTTATTTTCTGTGCGTACCTTTGAGATACATTTTTAATATCTTGCGTGAAAGTGATAAGGACGTAAAGAATTGTGGCAGCGGAGCACCACGGTCTGGTGCCCAGGCCGTCCAAGCAACTAGGCAACTAGATCGCTAGTAACCTCGCTCGTTCCGCACTTTCGACGCAGGAAATGTCGCGCGATGAGAAAGAAGGAACTTAAACTGACAGTCTTTTTCGCGAGCGTTAAAGAACCCCTAGCCGAGTTGCGGCAGCAAAACGCAAGCCTTTATCGGCAACTGCTTGAAAATTCCGGCAGTAAAGTCAAAGCCACGGAACGCGAAAACAGTGCTCGAGCTCACCAACTAGCACCGATCATTCCATTTAGACATTCAATTCTTGACCCGATTTTTGTGATACTTAAATATTCGTGAATTCGAAAGCTCGAAATCTTGAGTTTGGCATCCCCTATACTGTCAGCGATTCCCTGGTCGTAAATTCGTTTTCTTTCTTATTTTTCAGAAAAATAAAACGTCATAAGTACCCTATTAATTGCCTCCGGAATTCTAAATGTTCCAGTTTTAGCATTTAAACATCTCCTCTCGTCGGACAATTTCAAATGAGTTTACCACCTGGTTTTTTAACCGTTGCACGCGAGAAAATAAAATGTTTAAAGGACAAAAAATTGTTTCGTCCTGATAAATGCACCTCGGCCCTGGAAACAAAACCGGAAAGAGGGCATAAACTCCATCAAAGGGGCCGATATGAAATATACGCGTTCAGATAAGACTAAAGTACCAGAATTCGCAGGACCGATAGTCCCGGTCTTTGAGTCCTGTACCTCTGGCTGTTCTTGACGTCTTGCCACGCTCGCCTGTACATCAAGGCAAACGTCCTTCCTCCCGATTATACGTGGATACACGGATGCAGCATCGTAATTGATTTCCGAAACCGACATTGAAGGTCGCTAAGGACGCGGAACGACTTAAATGTGATTTCAACTTAATTTTAACTTTACCTGCCGTAGAATCGTACTTTTCGTTCCCATTCAATTGGGCTCCCAAAATATAAAAATAACCGACATACGTACGGTAAATTAAACATTCAACCGACATCTTGGCACGGGAAAGCACGGTGAACTCAAAAGGAAAGCGTACACAATGAATCCGTAATAACTTTTGAACATTACATATACGATAAATACAGTTCGGCGACAATAAGGAAAGTCGTGCATCCTTTAAACGAACGTTTCCCTTGCTCGCGTGAATTTTTCAACGGCTTCCAAAAATGTCAACGGGTTGATAATATAGAGAGAATGCCGTATCTCCGGTCCTCCCCTCTCCGGGCGCATACCGAGGCGCCGTGCACCGTACGCGGTGCATCGCGGACTCGAGAAGTTTACTCACCCATTTCGGTGCTCTTCCTTCAGGATCGCCAGCGAGGCATGTCGAATGGCCGGTAAGTCAGGTTGGACCGGCAAGGAGCGACCAGTTGCCCGGGCGTCGTCGCAAGATCGGGTTTTCCTGATTTTTCTCCTTAGGGGGACAACCGGCGGTCGGTAATCCTCGAGGCACGGGAGGGAGAACGACGAGCGCGGGAAGAATGAAAATAAGACGGAGAAATCGGTTCTCGTCACTTCGGGGGATAGGCGAGTCTCCTTTTTTCAGTTAATCTCGCCGTTCCTGATTGGTGGACGCGCCAGATCCGTCGTGCACCATCTCGCGCCCGGTCGAGACGAGCTGCGGCGTGAAGTTGGTTGCCGGCGATGCGAGCCACGAGCAACCCTGGCGCAACCTTCGCTCGGGTTGGACCGACCTCGGATTCCGTTATGTTAGGTTCTCCGTCGCATCGGCATCGCGGGCTTAGCCACGACTGGACTCGCCTCGGCTCCGCTCGACTCCGAGAACTCGAGCTCGGCCTCGTGGAACACTGTCTCCCCTGATGCGACACTCCGGTACCGGCGCTGCACAAAACGGTCCGGAATGAAGGTTAAACGTCGACACGGTCCTAGCTGGCAAATCGTCATCAAACCTCTACCGTATATTAACTATCGAAACTATTGACTTAGGACTTAGGATGAGAAGTCGATAATTACTGAAACTTGGAGCGGAAGCGAACCGTGGTCGCTGGATCGTCATCGGTATCGACGGAAGTTAATCCTTCGCGAAAGGGAGGCGGGCCGTTCTCGGGAATTCTATCGCGACGCGTAAAGGGTTAACTTCGACTTACGGACAAGGTCGCGAACTAGGAGTCTTCCTCGTGCCGTGCGATCGAAAGCAGCCGGTAATAAACTCGAGTCTTCCTTTAAAAGTATCCGACATCGAAATAGGACTCGAAGGGACGAACCGAAACCGGTCTTATATGCTAGGGGAATCCGCGAATGCTGCATTTACATATCACGAATATTCCGACAATTCGAAAACGTCTCGCCAGGATCTACGATCGGTTTAGCACGGATGCATCTTTGAGAGATAATTTCCGGAGCGATAGGCTCAGTGATTTGCCGACAAGATACTTAGTTTTCGAAATGTATACGTTACGAGCATGGCCCTAACGGGAATTAATTCACCTTCCATTCCGAAGGAAGTACTCGTCCACTCGATAAGATCAACGATTCGACTATTTGAGAGTAATTCCGAACCCTGCTACTCTCGGGGATTCCACCTGCTCTTGAGAAAAAGTTAATCGTAAATCCATTGATTCCCTTTTCGGTAACACGTTTTTACTACATCACCGATTTCCCGATTAAAATCTTTTATCGCGTATCTTGACATTTTTCTGGTACTCCAGCCATAAATAGCCGACGGCCTTAACGGCGGTTCGCAAAACGCGCCCTCTTACTCACATTAGAAATATTCGATAGAGGTATCAGAGTTCAACGATCACCAGGTTAGAGTTAAGGACGAGTCGGCCGAGTCGCGGTCGCTCTTGACTCGCTTGGTCGCAACTCGTATCCCGGGTTTAGGTAAGCACGTAAGACGGCCGACTCGGGTTCCCGTTAGGTCCTCCGCCGCATCGGCATCACGGTCTTGGGCTCGACTGCGAGAACCCGTCGAGTTCGAACCCGTAGAATGCCGTATCTGGTGGCGGCACTCCGGTACCGGCGCTGCACGGAGTAGGGTAGGGTAGGGTAAGCGCACAGGTACAGGTACAGGTACAGGTACAGGCACGGCATAGGCCAGAACTCCGCCGCAACGCGCGGCCCACCCTGGATTGCGCGTCCGGAGGTGAAGGTTAACGTTTTTACGCATCGAACGAGATATCTCGAAAGCCAAAGGAACGTTATCGATGCCGCTGAAATTGCCATTATTACAATGTTTCTCTTAATTGAAAGCTCATTTTTTTATTACCTAGCAACCGTTTGATCCGCCTCCGCTTGATAATTTCATAACACGGTTCCGCGAAACGGGCGTCGCGAACATTGAGTATTGGCAGTACTCGCTATAGTTTGATTAAGAGGATATCGTACCACCGATACAGTAGTGTTAATCAAATTTCTGGAAAACTGAAGAAAGTTAATCGAGTCGAAATCGTTTGCACATTTTTTGCCCTATTGTATCGCGGGTAAGTTGATTGTCGGTTCATCGGTAACGAAAGGACGGACTGGAGATGTTTCAAGAATTGTGATGTATATGCATTTTAATAAGATCGTAATCTACGTAGTATCAATATTTCCTTGTTAGAACTGACATTGTGACATTTATTTGTAAATTCAAAATCTTTTTTCTTTCAAACCTTGTATTCGAAGGTAAAGCGTTTAACATCCCACGCGTTAAAGTAGTCCACTGTTACATCTTACTATCCTTCCAGATAACGAACTTGCATCTAATGAACGTTCTACGATTGTTCACATTGAATATTTAGTTGTTCACGTTGAATATTTAGTTGTTCACGTTGAATATTTAGTTGTTCACGTTGAATATTTAGTTGCTCACGTTGAATATTTAGTTGTTCACGTTGAATATTTAGTTGCTCACGTTGAATATTTAGTTGTTCACGTTGAATATTTAGTTGTTCACGTTGAATATTTAGTTGTTCCCAGAACATGCTACAAATATTCATGTTATATAATCAACATTCATAACACGCAAAATGTCCGCCCCGTGGATATTCTTATAATAACTGGAGGAATATTTGTCCAGATATTCAGAAAATATCCTCATATGATTCTTAAAAAATTTCCTGAATATTACAGAAAAATTTTCGAGATACAAATGCCGGCAAATTTCTTGACTTATATTGTACCTGGAATGGCAGTACTCTACATTCTGCCCGCTAAAAAAATAAGTAAATCACATTTTATAACTGTTATCTCATAGATTAAAATATTCCCTTCATTTTTTATCACTTGGTGAACTAGGGTGGAAATTCTATTCTATTTTGGATTTGTTCGGAGAAGAAAATAATTCAATAAACATATAGCAGAATTAAAGAATAACTATCTTAAAAATCTATCCAAATTTTTTTGAGAATATTCTAAACATGTCCAAATTTATAAACGTATATATATAGAATACTCATTAAATATTTCAAATATCTTTCGAAAGATTTAGAGGGTGTTCAGAGAAATATTGGTGTTATCTGGACTAAATGGTTTCATTTGTGCCAATTGTGTGATATACGGATGAAATGCTATCGTAATTTTAGAAACGAATTTCCTATTCGATTATAAAAGGGCGTAAACTCGGAATGCGTCCATATAGAGTTTCGATATGTTCTTGAGCATTGGACGAAATGGTTCTTTTGGGTTTAGAAGTGTCAGGAAACATTGAAAATAAAGGAAAGCCTTCCGATGAAACGGGAAGGCAGAACGCATACGCACGCTGCACACGTGTGCGTTCTCTTTCCGGGAGCTCAAGCTCGACCTGGCAGCACGGAGAAACCTTCGGATATGGCAGGGCCGCTTCGGGGTCATCGCCCACTTGTTGCTTCTTCCCTACGGAATAGTCGCATTGTTCTCAACACGTTCCGTAACACATGGACAATTCGCGAATCGCGTATCGGAAATCCGGGGGCGTACACGATTTACTTGGGATTAGTCTCGACACAGAAGTATTGGGTTGATGAATGGCGTTTTTAATACGTAACGTAAAGTGTAAAAAAATTCCATTACTTATGCATCAACCCAATAGATGCCCAAAAGACAAGGGATGATTAAAACTTCTTATAATTTTACCTGAGTAAACTGAGGAAAATTAAACATATTTCATCTAATGGTACAAACACGTCGTACATGAACCGAATGGTACAAAAACGTCAGTATGAGAAAATTTACTCTTCTAATTGTTATTATTAGAGATATCCCATCGCTCTGAGTTCATCAACCAAATGATAATGGCAGTTTCTGCGTATGTTTTTACGAAACGGATAAAAATATATGGTTAAGCACAACAAATTTTCGAATTAGTATACGCATAATGGCTTGCGCGCATTATAGCCGCAGCGCATCGCATTGCAAAAATGCGGAAGCGCACGATAAAGAAGATTTTTCTAAATGCCTACGTTGCCGACGTTCGTTTTTATATTGACAGCTGGGTCGAATTATATTGGGTATTGTACCAAATGGCATACTCCACCTGTCGTTTTCGTACTATAAATATCAAGAAATCGAAGTAAAATTCCAGAAATCCTCTGGATTCATGCTTTCTGGGGCCCTAATTGACTGCAGAGGGACTCCCTGCGCCATCTGTGATTTCCAGGTCAATTAAATTTTCACTCCAAGACCTCGTATTCCCATCGTTTTAGCATAGAAGCGCATACAATACTTTTTTTGCCTTTATCCCGTTCAAATGCGAGTTTATCGATTACCAGTGTTCTAAATTGTCGTAAAATTATCCTGACTCTTTTGATTCTCATATCAGAGCACTCGATAATTGTATACTGATCGAAATATGAGAGCTCGACGCCATTTTGGTTCTGATCAAGGCTGAGTGAAAAAGTTTTCTTAAAAAATCCAAATTTTGAATGTGCCAGGACAATTCTTATATGATCAGGAGTGATATGTCAAAGTTTTGGACAGTTAGGTCTAATGCCCTTAAAAAAAAGTGTTGTATTCGAATCGACTGATTTGAAGGGGGTTTCATTTCACCTTAACACGTTAAGCGCGGCGTCAGTCCCTGGCGACTGGCACGGCATTAAAAATCCTATATATAAAAAATTGTGCCACCTAAACGGAAAGCTCAGCAACATCGATTCCGCGCTTAACGTGTTAAAACATACAATTGTCGCATCAGTTCTCCATTGACCTTGTTTGCGTCCGTACGTTTTCCAACATGGATAGCTCCGATAAAGAACTTTATTTATTTACAATTTTTTTTAATGAAGAAATGGAAAAGAAGAGAACTGAAGTGAGAAAACGTGGTATACGGTATTACAATATTTGCTCGAAAAGAAAGTTATTTGAAGACTTTCAAGTATTTTTGAAGATTTGCTCGAAGATGGAAAAAAATAGGTTATGCGTCGACAAGAATTGCCGAGGGCCTATATGCGCTAACGGTATATTACGAGCAAATTTTTATATCGCCTATATCCCAACGGTATTCACACGGTTAATGATAGTTACCTGCATGTCTAAAACTCACGCCTCCGTGCGATGAATGTCGCGTTGTGTGTGTATTACGCAAATCCGTCGCACACTTTGATAGGTCGCAGCGGGTCCGCGCAAAAATCCGTCTAACGAGCGATCCGTCTGTAATATGCGATAATCCATATAAAATCTATGAAATCGATCCCGTGCGGATTTTTTAAATGAGATGCGCTGCGATCCGCCCGGGCATAATATGCGCGAGCCTTAAGTATACATTCTTTTATGATAACGCATAAAGTAGTAGTCGTTGCAAATGGGAAATAACGTTAATCCTATTTACTTTTAAAAATATGTATAAACTTAATGTACACATGAACTATTTTCTGCTTTCAGTGTAGGACCTGACTTTCCGGATTGTGTACGCACGTGTTTACTAAATCAGAAACTTCAGGTATGCACATTCTGTATATATTATTTCATTAAAGTCCTTTATATTTTGTCATAAAGGAAGAAAGCAGTTCTAACACCCACTATTAATGTTCAGTTATTAATGTTCTTCAGTTGTTTTTTTTTTTTTAATTATATTTGCATATTCTCGTTCACAGATGATGAATTGCTGCATTCAGCGTAAGCAAGCACGCGAGCACTCGGCATATAAACAACAAAGTTTGGATTTTGATGATTCAGGTAAACATTTTAATTTTTGTTACACACATTAATTTAGTATTTTCTTATAAATTATAATATTTTAACATATCGGGGCATCACCTTCAGAATCTCAAGAAGAATTCCTTGAGCGTCTGTGAAATGTTTTTGCCGATTATAAAATATCGTGTTTCAGAATCTGAAGAAGAATTCTTTGAGTGTACTAGCGAACAACAAACGGAAGAGGTCGAAGCTGGGCAGTCAAAGCCCCCCAGCAAAACGAAACATTCCTTATGGAACAGGCCATCGGGAAGATTAACCGAACATCCGTCATTACGATTGATACACACCGGGGAAACACTTTATTTGCCAATAACTCAAGATCCTGTTCCAAAAACTGAAGATCAATTAGAAGAAGACGCACAAGTTATGATGCAGTTAGGAACCGATCAGCATGCGTCCGAAATGCGGGCCCGGTTGATGAGTGCATCCCTGCTTTCCGATATGGAATCCTTCAAAGTACATAGCTGAGTATATTAGCTGTAAGCTCTAAGGTGAACAAGCTAGCAACTTTAAATCCTAAAGACATTATTTTTAAGAAAACTACTTTCCCATCTTTACATTGGGGATTTTTAATTCCACTTTTTGCTGTGTTGAAAATAATCTAATATTATAATTAATAATGAATATATTTCGAGAAAGCAAAATAGGCGAAACATTATGAAACTTATAAGAATGCTCTTTTGTACATTTAAAATTGCATCAATCGTATTGTGCGTAATTACTGTACGTTACGTACGTTAATGAAACCGAGCATAAACCTATACAAAGAATGGAATATATATATATGAACAAAATTTTTATGAATTATTCTTATAGAATAAGTATTAGTGTTTATTATTTATGTTTTGATTGGACCTGATTTTGTCTGATTAGGCTGCAAACCCTGGGGCGGAAATGGAGGACTTCATCCGATGGTATTCCCCGCGAGATTGGATCGAGGACGCGGACGTTGATGAATGGGGACAACAGAAGGGTATCTTATGAACTAGTTAAAGTGTTTCTTACAAATGCAAGGTACTGATTTGATTTTACAATTTATCTTATATCTGTACAGGGCATCTTTCACCTCGGATGATGATCCCTAATAATCCATGGGCTGTTGCGTGGAAATCCGCACAACCTGTTCCGGCTCATCGTCAAAAGCGATTATTCGACGACACAAGAGAAGCGGAAAAGGCTTTACATTTTTTGGCATCTAGACGGATTAATCTAATTGCCCAACTTCTGCTACCATCTCTCACTAACGCAGCTTTGAATACTCTCGGTTCACAGAAAGCGGATGCTTTACCAAATCTACCAGAAGTTACTGAGAAAATTCTGAACAAGTTGCAAGTGGCCTCTAAACCGCTTCATCAAAACCTAAATTTGTACGAGGTATGGTCATTTGCGTTAACAATTAATCATCACTAGCACACAATTATCAGAGATTCATTGGAAGCTACCATGCCACGTTATCGTTGTAATTACAACTCTCAAATTCCCATTGCTTTTCTAAAAATGATTACAGATCAATTGAAACAACTTTTAAGTTTATGAATTACTTGAAAATTATTTGAAACAGTTACATGCCTTGCACCATAAAGCAAGTTATTTTAATAAGATCATGCGGGACATAATTGTTTTAAAAAATGTATTAAAAATGATAGTGAACGAGAAAGCGATCTAAAAATAATTACGGTCGTCCTCGAGTCTCTTAAAAATAGTAATTAAAATATGTTATTACTCTTTTTTCGCAGGAAATTATTCATGATATTGAAGGAATCGAGACTTTAGTTGCTCAGGTATATTCTCTGCAACATAAACTTGGTGGAAATGACAACTCCAATGAACTCACCCCTTTCTTAATCCAATTAATGCGCGGCAAGGAAGTATCCGTACCAAAAGGTGCTAAAGGAAATATTGGATTGCGCATAACAACAATGTTTCGAGATGCTCAACGGGTATAATCGCGTTTTAATAATAAATCCATTTCTACTTTCACCTATTAAAAAAATATATATTTAAGTGCAGTTATTTAAATCCATTGATCCTAATTCCGATACAATCAAAATTGTGAGCTATAATTAATGTTTCTAATTTTGTTATCAGGCCGCTCACATGATGACCTCTGTTGCCACCTCTAGTGAAGCAAATGCGACAAAAGATGAAATGCATAAAGCATTTCCGGAACCCACATGCAAAGAATACATTTTGCGTACAAGCATACCTCGACCAACGCCGGTATCTACTCGACAAGCCCAGCGAATGTATGCCTACATTACTCGAGACTGCATTCGCCTTGCAGGCTCATTTTCGGAAGACACTGTGTTCATTTAGAGAGCGATATATGAATTACAGAATAATTACAAACGGCAGCGTGCAATTAGTTAATGTAGTTTGTAACTACGCCATACCAGCAATTCTTAGATACCATGCATAAATTGAAATAAATTAGAATAACTGTAAATTGAAAGTAGGTCGTTGGAAATATGTTGATAACGTAATTGAAAGGTCTTAACATTTTATATTTCAAAATAGTTTTAAAAAATACATATTATTATATTAATCAATATGTTCAGGTGATGGTCTTTGTGGATAGTTAATAAATCGGCCTTATGAATTACTTTTTCTTAAATAATTTTGAATTAAGAAAATTTCTATCTGAAATAAAACAGTTTTTACTACATTAGTGGGTACACCGGTTTTTTTAAAGAATTCTAAATACATAGTTATTCTTTAAGGAGGAATAGTACATATTTTTCTGTCTTCGCACTCTGCTGGAAGTGGGGAAATTTCGCACCTAAAATTGTTTGCACAGAATGTACTTTAAATAACTTGAATGGATGAAATCACAGCCTTTCGAAAATATAATTTTTCTTGCGAAACCAAATTTTTAAACTACTTCCCAGAAAAAATATAAATAATAATTGAAGATCCGTACTGGCAGCCGACGAATCTATCATGTCAGTTCAACATGTTCTCTACTGTTACTCGTTCAACATTTACGGTACTGTTTCATAGAATCACTAATAAAAACCAGAAAAGGTCCATGTCAGGAAAGTTGTACACTTGTCGACTTCACACTCTATGACTAAGAATTGTTGCAAAGAATTGTTGTTTGTGAAAGTATTTTCTATATTTTCCCACCTGACTCTGTAATATTCCATTTCAATAGTATTCTAAATTGTTTGAGCTAGGTCTTGAAACTCTTAATTTTTCTAACCTTCAAACAGTGAAAACATTAAAAACGTGCATTGTCGATGTCACGTTGGTTCTAATTAATGATAAATGAAGAAAAAATTTTTTTAATGAAATTTCGCAAGTTCCAGAACCTACCTTAGGACCTCCGTATTCACGTGGTAACATTTGATATGAATTGGTACACCCAATTCAGAGAATACTTTCACAAACGGGTTGGCCTTTCAGATATGGGGTGACCATTTCATACCACTTTAAGGACGTTAACATGCAAACGTGTGACGAGTTGTTTTCGTACGATAGGTGATATATGATAGATCTCACCAGTTTTAAATAAAGTAATTATGATAGTTCCATTACAATTTTTTTCTCAAGTAACGGTTTAGCAAATAAGAAATCACGCACAATATCGTCAAGCTCTTCAAGGGCCAACTGAGCGTGAAGACGTAATACAGAATCGTTATCATTGTCCCGCAGGTTTTTCAGTCCACGATATATATCTACTAGATCTTTCGCAATATCCGTCAAAACAGCTTTTCCAAGACCTCGGAATAAAAGTGTTACAACCAAAACTGCAGCCCTTCGACATTCTGGAGCCTTATCAGTCTTTATTATACACCCAATGCAATATAAGACCTGTAATAAAAAAGAAACATAACCAAATCGATATTTTCAACATTGTTATAAATATGTTCTGTTCAATGGATAAATAATGGTCTGCATATATCTATGTAATTATTATAAATCCAAAAAAAATGTATCGTTATATGTACAATATGTACACAATCATTGTTTACAATTACTATAATCTGGAAACTCGATAGTGTTTTCTGACAGAATATTTATACATACGTAGGTCTGCAAGAAAGCCACCAATTGTTTTGTAAATATTATTAATAACCAATAACCACCTTAAACCGTATTTTTAAAATACAATCCAAAAGCAAAACATTGTCATTAAAACTTTTACTTAAAATTCATTTAAATAATGAATACTCTTATTTTTAGTTTCTGCAAAAAACTTACCTCGATCGTCATGTGACCCAATCGAAATCCTAGGACTTTGCAAAGTTCTCCAAGACATGAAAGGCTCGAAGAGCGCACTAAGGGGTCTTCATCACGAGTACTGCACAAGAAAGCATTTATCAGTATGTTCTTATATACGGGTGCCATGTCACCTGTAAATAAAAGTCAGAAATTGAAGATAATGAATGTTGCTTCTTTCCTGCTAAATGTTTCACACGTAAGTACGTTCTTTTGCCCTATTAACAGCATATTTTCAGTTTTCTTATTCTGTTAAGATTGTGATATGTTTGATACTTGTAACAATTGTTAGTCAACTTTAAGTCAAGTGTGAGTATACAACATATTTAAAGGCGCAATTCCTTAAAAAATACTGCGTGTTATGAAAACGCAATGCAAATGTAAATACCTAAACCCTTCGTTACTTTAACGAGAATTTCTCCAAGTTTCGCTCTGTTTTCAGAAGAGACTTCAGTCGTCAAATTTCGCTGAGGCATGTTAATAAACTCTTGTACCAGAATCTCCACAACATCTGCAGGAAACTTCATAGCAAGTGCAGTAAGAGCATTGACAGCTGCTAGGTATATAAATGAATCATCGTGTTTTAAATTTTCCTAAAAATGTAAACATATTTTAAATATTTTTTACAAATAATACTTTGATAATATATTATACGCGTTAATACTTGAACAGATTGTCAGAAAATGTAGAATTTAGACATTAGTGAAAAACAAGAGGTATATGAAAAAGGATACTAACTTGGAAAAAACATAGTAGAACACTTTTCTTAGCTAGAGCTGTAGTATTAGATGCTTCAATCAACCTTGTGAGCGATATTAAACCATGACCACGAACGGGAAGTAATGGATCAGCTAAATTATTTAATGCTTTTTCAAATTCATCAATACTTTCATTATCTACTGATAAATCTTCATAATGCTTCCGTTTTGGATGACCTCGTAGTTTAATGAGTGAAAGCACCTCCTGTATTAAAGATGACACTTCCGATGATGTTTCCTTGAATCTATTATTTAGAAACTGTGCAAGATCATCAAACGGTTCCCATTTTTTTGGTTTCTTGGTCCCAGTTAATACAATCTTTACAAGTATTAAGCTGGTGTATAATATTTCAAAATTATCGTCCTCTGAATCTATTAGTTGTTTGGACTTAACATTATCTGTCTCTTGATGGAATAAAGATTTAATAAATATGAGCAATGATTCAGGATTTTCGATTTGTGCTTCTTGTATTGCAGATGTATTACCAAGTTGACATAGGAGTTTAGCAGCAGTTATTTTTTTCCATACTGTATGCTCAGTCGCAACAAGACAACTCCCACTATTAGTTGCTCGAATGTCAGTGAGACTAGACAGTGATTTTAGTAGATAACTAAATAAGCTAGATGATAAAGGTTTACTCATATGTACTAAATCAAAAAGACTATCTGCTAATTCTTCTTGGCTAGGTTTCTCCTTTTCTTTACTTATTATGAATCCCCCAGAAGGTCCAAAAGTAAACGATAACCTTTCTCCAAAATTGTATGAACATTTTATGTTATCATGGTCTAGGAACACGGAAAAAATATTTTCTCGCAGTTCCTTTTCTTGAAGCAAATGAAGTAGAAGTTCCCCAACTTTCTTCTTTAACACGGAAACTCCACGACGGGCTACAGTATATAAATAAAATAATGGAACCGCCACTTCTGCAATAACTGTGCAAGGCAGTTGCTTAAACTTAGCTTCAGTAGACACGAAACAATTTGAAAGATTCTCTATGCATTTAGTTAGTTCACATTCCTTTTCTTCTACACTGGAACCATCAATATTTGGTTTTTCTACCAAGAGAGGAGCACATATGACACGAACGATTTTTTCTTTGCAAATATCAGGATTATAATCATACAATGCTGTAAAACAGCAATTTGCTATAGTTGGTCCATGTTGAATATTTCTTGATGATAAAATATCAATTAGCTAGAAATAAATTATACCATATTATTATTATTTTAATAAGATTAATTTACATAGTTAGACATCTACTCTGATATCTATACAAACCTGTGGGCATATGGAATCATAGTAGCTATTGGAGTAACTGGTATGTGGAATTGTGATTAATTTTGCCGCAGTATCTATTTTATCCCAGTGTGTACCAATATCCAAAGTATCTTCACACATTGCCAGCATTAAAGACATTACTCCATTAGGTTGCATTATTTGTTCAATTAAATACTTCCTTGTGTGTTTACGAAGCCAATTAGGTGCATTGGGTAAACCTAGAATTATCAGCATATATTTCATAATTACAGATTTTGGACATTCATCAATGATGTACTGTAATTTGCTACTAAATTCTTTCTGATCATTCATTAATTGTTTATACAGGGCAAATGTCATCTTAAATTGTACATCTTGTTTATCTGCCTGGTCAATCAATTTATCATCTGGTATAGGTTTCATTAATGGAACGTGTGATAATTGTAACAAAGCTGCAATTATGGATCCAATTTCATTTATCAGAGCTGGGCGCAGTGCAACTTCTTTGTAACAATCCACAAGAATATTGATACAATGCGACAATTGCGTATATTTCTGAAATGGTTACAATTTAAAACATTTTTTAGGTTTTTAAACTGAATATAAAAATATTAGTAAATGCTTCAAATATACACATTACCTGAAATTCTGTCAGAGACTTCTGAAGACCTCCATTATTTTGAGAATCTACTTTCTTCAAGTTTATTCCAACGCCAGGTAACAGGCAAGGAGTAATTCCAATATCTGATATCACCTCGACTGCCGATTTTATTTTTTGAAATTGATTTACAGTTAAGAATGTATCACTACATGCAAGACTTTTCGGCAATTCTTTTAATACAAATAATAATGCATGTAAATAATCAGACCTATTAATATAAAAGAATTGTGTATCGTTATTAATTTTTTGTATTTCGAAAGACATTATAATATGTTATTTGTATACCTTAAGTCATACTTCTGTCTATCATTTATTAATTCCATTTGTATTTCCGTGGGCAATTGCAAAATCGCTTTTTGCATATTGTCATACAGAGCATTTCCATTTGTTTCTATTCCTGAAAAATTCAATTATGATTTTTGTTACTTCTATTTTCATTAAATTTAACCTTTTTCATTAAATTCAATCTGTCAAATGTATATCATGTTCTTCTATAATACGTTGAATACCGATGGAGTTACCGATGACTGAGAACCACATTGCGATAATGTAGATATTATCCACCCCTGACACTCAACATTAAATTATTCTTATTACGCATTATATATGATTATACATAATAAAACAATTAGTAACTATTCCAATAGAGGATACATTGAATTAAGTACAAATACAGCTTAAATGTAACAAAGCTATACAAATTTCAAACTTTATAAATCAAGAACTTACCATCTGCCATCAATAGTTGTAAAAAATGATGTAAAGCCATTTTTAATGTTCTTTTATTTACAGCTTCATGTTATGACAATCTTTATTTTCTACACTGTTATAAATCATATATTCTTCATTACAGACATGCCTTCAAACAGTACATTGTCAGTTCGCAAAATATAATTGTTCTTATAAGTCATGTTACCATATATAAATATATTTAAACTCAAACAGAATCCATAGAGCTCATAGAAATTTTTACGTGTTTACATGTGCGTTAAAAGACGTTCATAACCTAACGGATACTTACATTGTGTGTATATACATACAGTCCTGTCACACATTTTTTCTTCGTAGAAACCGATCCTTAGATATTTACGAAGTACAATAATTAAAGGTAAATAATGTGAAACGTATTGCATGATTTTACTATACAGAAAAATATACTATTCTCTCCCTATTATATGTATGTATGTATATACACACCGATATGGTTTGCCTATCACTTCACTGCATTCCATTAAACTTTCCATTCAGACTGTACAAATGATGCGCACGCATCGCTTAAACAAGGGTAGATATAGTTTCTCTGAGGGTGGAACAATGATGGAGGCCGACCATTTCTTATCTTCGTCGCACCAATGCTTCCTAGACCCTGTGCGACAAGGATGCAGAGACATCCAAATCTATCTCTCTCTGGACAAGCTTGCCGTATACATCACGGTTGGATAAGTAAAATACTCCAGGTAATTTACATACTTCTTTACAGTAAATTACTAGGTATTTTACTCTAGTTTTATACGTGATGTAAATTACATGAATATTGGTCTTTATGTTCATCGATTTCCTGTTCCTGTTTCTAACGACATACGAACTAATATCCTGCTCATCTCTGCTAATATGCATTTTATTCCTTTTTTTGACTAAAATGTTTATTCATAAGTGATTTATATTTTAGCCATTATAAAAAAGTGAGGTTATAGCACCGCTATCTTTGTCGGGTAATTTGTTAGGTATTTGACTTAAATGTTACGTAAAATACTTCCCTTAAGTATTTTACGTAAGTAACTTCGAATGACGCGTAATTGCCCAACCCTGGTATACATACATACGCTTAAGCAGAGTTAGGTAATTTCGCGTTTTTCAAGGTTTTTGATGTATATTCTGTAAACAATGTAATTTACCGTAGAAAAACGTAGAAAACCAGTAAATTACATTTCCATCATCTCTGCCAATATGAAGAATGCCGCAGATGTGCGATATACAGCATCCGCTAAATTATAAACGTCTTTTAGTGCATATATAAACACGTTTTAATTTTGAAGGAATAATTAATTTGGCGCATGTATTCAAAACTCTTTCAATTTAACCCTGTTTAATATCAAATTTCTAACTGGATTTATTATTTTCTATTTAGAAATAGAAGGGCGTAATATACTTTACGCTCACGCAGAAAACTAAAGACGAATTATACGTTGTAATATACGCGTTGAAAACCACGTATATTACGCGCCATATTATACCTACCCTGCGTTTAAGCATGACGAGTTTACTGTAAATTTCAATGATACATGCGTACACGCATATTCAAATATATAACAAAAATTTATATTCCATTCTTATTAATTGCATTTGATAGACTCGTTCCTTTACTTTTTCTTACCTGGTTTTGATAGAAAAATCAGTATTAGTGTCATATAGGAAACTTGAAATTAAACAAAAGATAGAACGTGTAAAAGGCGCATAAAGTTCCTGTATGATAGCTGCCTTCAAGAGATTTCCTGTCATATTTTAGGGAAAATTTTGTTTAGGAGTTCTGCAATATTTCCAATTGCTGTTTTCGCTATGAGCGACTGCTATCAACTGCCAAAAACATCCATTTACTCAGAATATGGTTCAAAACGAGAAGATGCATGTATCGATGCGTCGTATTCAAATGCAGTGTCCAATCGGTGGAAATCTATTCTTAGGTGTTGCTTACGAAATTCTCGGAAAAGAAATAAATCTTTGCCAGATTACAATCCAGATGAGTATGATTGCATAATTGAGAAACTTGTGGTGAAACGAATTCCTCTTGCTTTATATGCGACTCCTCACGACTACTTCGAAAGGAACAAAGACGGTTTTTACTTTAACAACAAATCAATACATAATCCTTCTGTAGATACAACAAACAATGTTTCGGTGTTACCTGAAGTAAAGTCTACCTTATACTATACTAAAAGTAGAACTTACAGCAATTTATCCAGTAACATATCAAATAAAAATTTACGTTTCGATAAAAGAGAAGATGTATTGGATGAAGATGCTATTCCTACAACTTCTTCCGCACACGAAATGAGCTTGGAGCAAAAATTAAGAAATGCAGAAATTCTTAATCAATTCTCTGCATTACATCCTGATTTAAAGGAATCCGAACGACCACCTAAAGACCCTTGTCCATTAAACTTATTGAAAAGCAAACGCTCATTAGCAGAGAGTATATCAGAGGTAGCTTCTGCAAAACCGTATCATAATCCGAGTTTCAGGACAAAACCACGCTCAAAGTCTAATAACGTTTATATTGCGCCGTCCATCGTGTCCAGAGAAATGTCAACAATGGCTACCAATGAAGAAATTCCTACTCACGATAAAAATCATTCACTTAGAACATTTTCTACTTCCCCAAAAATAGGAAGTACATCATGTATGCCTCATTGTCAGAAAGATATTAAAATACCAACACAAAAGTCGGACAATCATCGAAACAACATTCAATTTAAAGAATTTCATTCCAACTTTCAATATCCAAGAAAATCTCAGGATTATCCTAGCTCCTCTAAAAAAAATAAATATATTGTTTCTCCTTTGCAAGTACATTATGTGTCTCCCAACATAGGACCTCCGAAGAAAAAATCAAGTACACATGAGAATGAACTGGATAGTACGTATGTGCAAGAACAAAATAATATTGCGGAAGTAATGAAAGTACGTGACAGTATAGTTCCCAGTGTCGTAGAATCTGTAACCGACGAAGCCTCGCTTACCTCTGATGATTTAAGAAACGATGAGTTATCTGGAACTACGCTAAGATGGAAAATTATTATTAAACATCATCAACCGGATACATCGTCTACGACACACGTATCCCTTCCAGATTTAGAAGAAGGATTAAAAACACATCAGCTTACCGATGCAAGAAAAGGAGCTATTCAAGGTGATGCCCAATTTATTGATAAATATACTAATGACCAAAACATGCGTGGAACAGTTTAAAATGAACGGAAGAAGATTAACAACGATACAATTTCTAGTAATAAAAAATAGGATAACTGAAGACCGGAATATCGCGCGCTTATGTAAGACATTCCTGGAAGTCATCTTTGCATTAAATGGTTTGAGTTAGAAAAAGAGATTATCGTTTACTTCTCATAAGTATATGTTTTAGAAAAGAGTTGCCTGAATATAGGGGAAAAGCCATAATGTAAGATTTAAAAAGTCCTGAAGTCATCGTGCGTTTCCGCCTTTTATTTAATTATATCGTTTATAAAAGGATTATATTGGTTTAAATCACTTAGGTTCTAATGAATCATAGTTACATAAAAAATAAAAGGAAGATCTTAATTTTAATTAAACCTCTACAAAACCATTTTAGGTGTATACAAACTTCGCCAAATACATATTTGTTTCCTCCATCAACCGCAAAAGTAACTCAAATCGCGGTCTCAAAATGAAAAGATCGGATCATTTATTTCTACAAAATATAATCGTATTTTTATAACATGGAAAATTTAAATCACATTTTTGCCAAATATGAAACTATATTTAGTTGTGTAAATATGCTTAGTTTAATTGGGTGAACTCGCTTTAACTAGAGACTGTTTAACTCTACTGGTACCAAGACGATCATGAAAAAGAATTGCACCGTCGATACCGGTCTGACGCTTGATGTTCGTTTAAAAGAACTTTTAAATTTTTTAAGTAAAAAAATCTGACGGGAAATATTATTACAAGTTACGACGTTCGAGCGTCCGACTGAAATTAAGAGACGTCGCCTTTTGAACTTTCTTTTCGCCTTTGAAACTTATCGCCGCTATCGGTCCCTAAGCATGTTCCTCTCCCCGACAACTCCATTACAGCGGATTATAAAGGGCTACCCAGTGAACACTGTTATATAATTATTGGATAAATGTTACGTTTTCGAAATCAACACGTTATGTAGCATAAAAGTAACATGGAAGTTAGATGTTAGTTATTATTTCCCACTCAGTAAGGCAACANCTCGGAGAGAGAGAGAGAGAGTGTGAGAGAGGGAGAGGAGGAGGCAGCTCCAGGGGAGCGCCAACTCGAGAGAAAGAAAGTGAGAGAGAGGAAGATTTTTTATTATTTTTTGGTACTTGACAATAGTTAGATATTAAATGACACATCAGACATTCAATGAAATTATGTAATGATCAACTATCTGATTTTACTTAAAGACTATTATGATTTCATTCGACTCGCAAACAATTACTGATAATGTATATGCGCGTACGAATTAAAATCAAATTTTTTATACGAGTAGTAAACAAAATATGACATAAATTAATCTTATGATATTTGTCGATGAATTATGACAATGACGATGACGATAATGTAATAAAATAGATGACAGCACCGATGTAGTTCTGTTTTGTTACAAATATGTGCTGCATGTACACATTAATATCAGGACGGTAACATAATGTAAGATAAGAATAACAAAGTTACGCTACATATATATAGATATGATCGTAGCGAATGTTATGTAACCTGTTAGCTCTATGTTACGTATCTGTTAGGTTATTACGTTGTAACAAACGTTATGTTATTTGTTAGTTTTAAGTTACGTAACTGTTAGTTGTGGTGTTCAGTGGGTACTGTGTGCTTCGGTTCGTTCGGTCCAGGTTATTAACGCTAGAAATATTAAGCCCAGTAAAAATGACTGGGTTTAAATGGCTCACCATAGCCAAAAAAATCCGCCGGTAGTTCTAATATTAACCTTTTGCACTTCTATGTCAAGGGTGATTCGACAATTACAAGGCGATTTCAGAAACTTGGAGCGGAAAGGGTTAAAAACGCACGGGATTGCGCGGCCGATGCCGCGGGTCTCGCCAATGGTTCCGATAGCACAGTGACCGGTACCCAAGATACAGGGTCCAGCATCGGCACCTCCTCTACTATCGCCATCCTAACAGTCCGAGATCATAGACCGCAACTAGCTTAAGGTCGAAACCCCTACCGCCGAGGTCGAGGTATTCGCAGAGGTCGCGGCAGAGGTTCCCACTAAACCTCATCTCGTCGTTCAGAACGTGACAAATTCTTCCGCTATTCTATGCAGGATAGGCAACTAATAAAATTATTCACATTTTATATTTACATTTTTATAACTTATATGCGAATGTACATAATATTATACTAGTTGGTTTCTAAATAGCGTTAAAAATAGGAATAGAGTTTTATCATACAA